AAGATTCTTTGCTTGACGGACCATTTCCTGAGGATCACCCATAGCACTGGAGGAAACACACATAAAGTGAATTGTAGACATCTTGAAATGCATGTACATGTTACTGTACATGTACAACTGTCTTACTGTACATGGATAATTAATAATGCACCAAAGGGATTTATCAAGCCTTACAGGGTAGTATCAGGAATTTATTAGTATAATGCGGCTTCTTTGAAGTTTAATTAGTTGAGATGGGATATAACTTAACACATACATGTACACTACACGTACATACTATTTCATCATTATTATTATTATTATTATTATTATTATTATTATTATTATTATTATTATACCTAAAAAGTTTATCAGTAGCTGCAAGAATGGCAGCACAAGCTTCTTCATACTGATTATCAGCGTCCATCTGAACCCCTTGCTTTATCTGTTCTATGAGTGAATTAAGAGCTTGAGTCACGGCAGTGGCAGCTGCTCCAAGGTCTCTCAATGCATCATCATCCCCACATGCTGCCTGAGCTGCTATGACAATCTTCTCAACGGCAGCTGCTACCAGTTTACAAGCTTCAATCAGTTGCTCCTGACACAAGTGGCTATCAATAGTGGGGGCTAGTACCTTAGTACAAGCAATGAGGGACTGTGTGGCTAAAGCAGTCTGTGGAGAGAGAGAGAAGATAAGTAGAATAGGTAAGTGTAATTGTAAATCCACTCTCTCTCTCTCCCTCCCTCCGTCTCTCCCTCCCTCCCTCCCTCTCCCTCTCTCCCTCTCTCCTTCCCTCCCCCCTCTCTCCCTCCCTCCCTCCCTCACTTGTTTAGCTGCTATTATCACTTGATTCTGAAGTGCCGAGTCCTCACATTTCGCTGCCACGTTGCGTGCATTTGTCACAAGAGCAGCTGTCGCAGAGGCGACTGCCTTTGCCATGGCAACGAGTGCCTCCTGCGTCTTGAGGTCCACATCAGCTCCCCCTGCAACCAACAGGAGCTGACCTCCAGTAGTACCCATATCACCCGCTGACGCTAACAACTCTTGACGTTTCTATTTATAGAAATAATAATAATAATTACATGTTTTTATTTGTAGAAAACTTAAGCTAAATTACACATTATAGTTATATATGCGAAGTTTTTAAATTACAGAGAATAAACTCAATACAACAAAAAGTTCATTAGCCAATTTACTATGGTATTCCAGTGAGTGGACATACATGTACATGTACATGTAGCTACGTACTAGTATGTGTAGTACATTCCAGTCCCATTAGGTTGAAACAATTTTCAAAACATATTTATTTATAATATACAACTGTCATTTTGAAATCATAATAATAACAAACCCAAGACAAAACACTCATTATTGGGACCACACCCACTCTCCTCGTTGACCACGCCCCTCTCCTCGTTAACTATGCCCCTGACACGCCCATCACAACTCACGTGAAGGTTCTGTGGATGAGCAGAGTTGAGGAGGTCGGCAGTAGCAGCTGCTAGTGCTCGGGCAGCATCAAGCAAATTGGAACCTTCTCCTTCCGATGGATTGAGGGCAGCTAGCATACGAACAGCTTTAGCTAATTCACTTAAATTAGTAGAACTAGAGAGAGAAAGAGAGAGAGAGAGGAGGTAATTCCATAAGTGACTAAAAATTCACTCAGTAGATATGAAATACCCTGCACTATATAGCATGCAGCATTCCTAATTTTAGAGTAACTTAAAAATTCGTAAAAAATCCAATTTTGATTGGAATCAGCTCAAACTTGCTACACAACATAAGAACATGTTTATGCATCAAAAAATAATAAAAACTCTCCTAGATATTTCTGGTCAAATTTGGGCAAAGTCCCTGTACTAGAGTACAAGGACTTTGGCCTTATTATAAGTACATGATGTATATACACATGTAAAGATGTACAGTACATGTACTGGATTAGTTTACATTGTAGTAACTGATGATCCCACTGCAGTGTAGTTGATCTCCTCTGGCTCCAGACTGGTCTGTGTGATCACTGAAGCAGCTGATGCCAGCATGGCAGCAAGGGCTGCACTGACATTCTGTCTGGAGACATCCAATGTCTTCTGTCTCCACTTCATTGAAACCTACACACACACAAACACACAATGAATTAATTGTAATAATACATGTAAATCATATCCATTATACATGTACATGTACATAAATAGTCTTTTTAAAGATATCACATGTACATGTATCATCAATCAGAAAGCTATGATCATAGTCTCTTAGTGTCTACATTAGCTACAAGCAGTTCTCCTCTCCCCTTTCTCTTTATCCTCTAAGTAATAATTGAATTATAAGGAAGTGAGAATGAAATCATACTTCCTCCCTCCCTCCCTCCCTCCTTACACTGTCCCTCCCTCCCTCCCTCCTTACATTATCCCTCCCTCTCTCCTTACACTATCCCTCCCTCCCTCCCTCCTTACACTATCCCTCCCTCTCTCCTTACACTATCCCTCCCTCCCTCCCTCCTTACACTATCCCTCTCCCTCCCTCCTTACACTGTCATTATTCATCACTGGTACTTCCAGTGGTGTCTGGAGCTGTTCTGTGATTGCCATTACTTCCTGTAGACTCCTACCACACACTGTAGCAACATTCTGCTGAGCAAGCATCATCTGGGGGTTCTCAGCCATCTAGAGAAAAAGGGGGAGAGAGAGAGAGAGAGAGAGAGAGAGAGAGAGAGAGAGAGAGAGAGAGAGAGAGAGTATATAGCTTATGCCCATTATAAAAAGATAAACAGAAGTATAATAATAATAATAAAACACGTACAAGTCAATAAACACACTACTACTATACATAAATTGACAGTACAAAAAGTATTCATGTACTACTATAATTACTCACAGATGGTGGCATATGCAATATACCAGAAGACCCAGTCTCCACTCCGTGTTGTGCATGACTGCCTCCCATCTGCATACCCATGGATCCCTCAAAAGCACCTCCAATGGTCCCAGGTTGAGCCAGAGACTGTATTCCTCCATGACCCACTGTACTGGGGTGGTATGTTATCATACTGGCCCTAGGGGGAGGGGGAAGGAAGGAAGAGTGGTAATTGATTTTTAAAAAGTGGTAAGTAATGTCATAATAATTCCAGTGTAGAGCACACCAGAAGGATTATATCATACCATGTAGGTTGATAAGACTTCTCATGTACCATTAAATATACTGATACTGATACATTTACTAGTAATTATAGCAAGTGACTTAACTGATGCTACATGTAATCATATGTCAATATCTCACAGTGAAATGAAGTAATACGTAACTAATTGATTGTTAATACACATTCCCAGAGCTATAAATATAGTAGCATGATATCCCAAAGCTATAAATAGTAACAGCCAAAACTATAAATAGTATATGGATACCCAAATCTATAAATAGTAACATATACAGTCTATACAAATGTACGCATACAAAAAGCTATAAATAGTAACATGTAAGCATGCCCAAAGCTGAATATAAATCGCAATACAGTAGGTATATGTGCATATTGACTTACTTCTTAGGGTCGTGCTCAGATTCAACAATGACAGGCTCATCCTCTTCATCAGGCACATCAGGATGGATGGGTTTCTTCTTCTGCATTATGATGTCAATGTACATGGCTATCAACTGGGATATGGCTTCACCCTCTGTAGTCTGAACTGAATAGAAGGACTCAGAATAATCACCAAAATCCTAATGGGAGAGAGAGGGGGGAGGGAGAGAGGGAGAGGGAGAGAGGGAGAGGGAGAGAGAGAGAGAGAGAGAGAGAGAGGGAGAGGGAGAGGGAAAGAGAGAGAGAGAGAGAGAGAGAGAGAAGAATAGAAATAAAAATGAAGCTATACATGTGCATGATGAGTGTTTCATGTGAACGACACATCAACACATCATGTTTACACTAGTCCTCATACTATAAACCTAACCACAATCCCCCTACCCTCACACACCACTAAAACACACAAAGGGAGAGAGAGCGGGCAGCCAGGCAGCTGCCACTGCTATCACAAAAGACAAACACCAAATGAAAACAAGACCAACACACAGAGCAGTACAAGTTAACCATGAACATATTGCCTGTACAAGTATATGTAACTATATACTCCCACACTTCCTATAATGAATTAATGATACTATACCAGTATAGTACTATCACGGATACGTGGTACATGCAAAAGAATCCACATGTACCCAGTCCTCTTAGAATGTGGCATGAGGTCAGATAATAGCAATGTTGCTAGAGAGACTCCTACGTATTCACTAGTGCTGTGGCTATAGTGTGTGGTACTGCTGGCATAACAATGGAAGTGGAGCACAAGGGCTAAGCAGCTGCAATTAAAGGTACAGTGTATCCTTTAGTGTCATAGAGCTAACAATACAGTACATGTCCATGCACTAACTGCTGTATTAATAATCTATTAGATACAAAGAAGGCTATAGTTAGGCTACATATTGTATTAGGATCATATGCACTTAAAATTCATAAAAATAAAATTTTAGAGAATTAATAGAATATGTATACTAAGCATAACGTTTTAAAAGACTATAAATGTACATGTAACTCTGATATAATATTTAATTTCCTCCCTCCTAATATGTACATTTACATGTACATGTGACCACGCCCACTTACCAGCGTGAAGGAGTTAGGTGAAGCGGCCCACCTACGGACTGTGGTCAGTGGCCACGCCTTCAACACCTCTTTAGTGTTTTCATCAACACGAAGGACTGACTCACGAGTTATACCAAGGAGGCGTGGCACAAGACGATTACGACCTCTCATTTTCTCCTAAAAATATGCAACAATGATAATAACTAACGTCACATGGGCATTAATTAGAATCAACAGAGACCACACCCACTAGTGTATAAGGGGTCGGGTTACCTTAACAAGGAAGAATGTTACTCCGTACGTTTTCAGTGAACGACAGAGAGTGATGTATCGGTATTTGGCATTAATCTCAGTCATACTGTGGAGCTTTCTGTGTTCCTGAGAGAGAGTGAGAGAGAGAGAAGAGAAGGAGAGAGAGAGAGAAAAAGAGAGATGGTAAAAATACAAAATGATTAATAAATGAACCTTGTAAATGTCTTTCTCAATTCCTTTGATCCTCAAATACTCCTTGGGAAGAAACTCACCCAAACTAGAGGATACAAAATATAAAATATACATGTACATGTAATAAAGAGAGAGGGAAAGAGAGAGAGGGGGGGGGAGAGAGAGAGATATACATGTACATCTTACTCACTTCAAAAACCCAGTCTTATGCTTAGCTTCATTGTTATTGCCATACTGTACTTGGCACTGATAAGCAGCAAACAGGACAGCCTCATCTTTAGTACAAGGATGAGTCCCATTGACAATACTGTCCCTGGACTATATAACACACAGAATATTAATAATAATAATAATAATAATAATAATACACCTAATTACTGCTTTTAATGGGATCAGGGCCATTAAGCTCTCATGTACATGTACATGCAATGTGAAAGAAGGTCTGCATGCATACGTACCTTAATTTACATGCAACACTATTATATCCTATCTTATATTGACAGTTTCAAGATACCATAAGAGCATGGGCTACACTCCATGTGCATGCATACACATGTATAAGGTATGAGCTTATGTACATGCACATGCTTTCAAGAATAGCATCCACTAGAGTACACTTTCAAGACGTGCCGTTTAGCAACAATTAACACTTAGCTAGATATACTGTGCATTTTGGATATGCTACTGTAAAGGGTTGGAGGTATTAGAGTAATACTGAACACTGAATACACTACTGAGTGCTCAAGCTATACCTGGACAAAGAGAAGGTTAACTTGTACAGGATCATTGACATCAACATTATCATCAGTAAAGAACAACCTCTTCCTCAATATAAGGACCTCAGTCTCATCTATTCCCTGCTCACGTAAGGATTTATCCCTATTGACCCAATTCACTAAAGGAAGGAAAAAAAGGGAGGGAGGGAGGGGGAGAGAGGGAGGGAGGGAGGGAGAGAGGGAAGGAGAGAAGGAGGAAGGGAGAGAGGGAGGGAGGGAGGGGGGAGGGAGAGGGAAAAAGAGAGAGAGTGAAAAGAAAGTGTCAAAATGCTTTCTCTTGTTTCCTTTCTCTCAGCCGGCCCTACTGTGGCAGTTTTTTTGCCTTATTTGGTAAAGATGTGTAACATTCCACACATTGATGTGGTTGCTATAGCTTACACTATGTATATATCACACACAGAACAAACACACACACAAACACACACACACAGTCACTAACATTCATCATCAGTGTGATGTCTCTTCTTCAATCTGTCCATTTCCTTCTGATTCCTTGCCTGGTGTTGTTGCTGGAAGATACAATGAGAAGAATATAATCATGCAATTAATAATAATAATAATAATAATAATAATAATAATAATAATAATAATAATAATAATAATAACAGGGAGCAATCAACACAGCATTCACATATATAGTAGAGCAAATATACATGTACATGGACAGACAATAGCAGCATGCATCCACATATCTTGTGTATCTTAATAATAGTATAGTAAATACATAGACTGTACAGTATTTAATGCATAGGGACCAGTACAGTATTTAATGCATAGGGACCAGTACAGTATTTAATGCATAGGGACCAGTACAGTATTTAATGCATAGGGACCAGTACAGTATTTAATGCATAGGGACCAGTACAGTATTTCATGCATAGGGACCAGTACAGTATTTAATGCATAGGGACCAGTATGGTGCAGTTTAGTTTATACATGTACATATATTTCCCAACTTCAACAAATTTACTATTCGAGCCATCTTGTACCGTATTTATAACAATTTTAATTTTCACAAATCCCTCAAAGAAATAAATGATATACTGGTATATTGTACATGTACATGATGTGCAGTAGCATTGGATCATGCAGTATATACTTACTCTTCTAAGTGTCATCTCAGCCGTTTCACTCTCAGTGCAGAGGAAGAACTCCTCCGGGTTGGTGATACCAATCCTGTCACAGACTGTCTTTGTGATCTCTGCAACAGTAGCGCTGTCATCAACCTTAACAATGGAGGAGAGAGAGGGGGAGGGGGAGAGAGAGAGAGAGAGGGAGAGAGAGAGAGAGAGGGAGAGAGAGAGAGATGACTATGTACGTGTAGCATATTGGACTGTTTTAAAATATAACAATGTACATATAAGCTGCATGGGCAGTTAGAAATGCATAATTAATTATGTGGTTTTACAACTTTTGTAAAAATGCATCACAATCAGAATCGATGCATGTATACAGTACATGTATGATTATTATTAATATATTATTATCATTATTATTATAGAGAGAGAAAGAGAGAGATTGGGTTAATTAGCTATTACGAGCTTACAAGAATCGTCTTGATGCTTCCATCAAGTGTCTTGATACGCAATGGCCTCGTCTTCTTCCTGTATTCCAATATATCCTAAAAAGATTAAAAAAGAAATAATATATATACAATTAATGTATACAAAACATGTAGTCGTGTACAGTATAATAATGAACATGCATACAGTATATGTTTTATAAAATGAATAATTAACATGTACATGCACAAAGCTACAGTACAAATTTGAAGAGAGTGTATGGAGACTGGACAAAAGAGGAAAAGAAGGATTTTTACAAGAATGAAAGGGCATACTCCATTTTTCAAGTGATAGTAGTCCAGTGTCCTGCCTTGTTCAAGCCACCTTCCCTTGGTAGGGTCATCATCGGGATTAAAGAGACCATATTCACTAGCTAATGGAGGAGAGAGGGAGAGAGAGGGGAGAGACAGAGACAGAGACAGAGAGAGGAGTGTAGGAGGGGATCATTAAGTGCAATTATAGATTATTACAATTACAAGTAATTCAATAATATACATACATGCATGTACATGTGTTATCATACTATTAATGAGAGGGATCGGAAGGAGGAAGGAATTTACAAAAGGAACTCAATTTGAAAACAAAATTACATGACAATTACATGTACAACAATAACAAATGTCCCTTCTCCTCTCTCTCTCTCTCTCCCACTTCTTATAAGCTACTGGTACATGTACATGTATAAAAACGTACATGTACATGTACGTGTATATCTAAGCTAAGAGCACAGTCAACACATATGGTAATTGTTTGTCTGCTCAATAACTAAACAACAAAATAGACTAACAAGTAAACAATAGCTGCATTAATTAACAACAGATTAGAGAGAGGGGGAGAGGGGGGAGAGTGGGGGGGGGGGAGAGAGAGAGAGAGAGAGAGAGAGAGAGAGAGAGAGAGGTACATGTACATGAACAAGTGGGTGTGTCAATTGAATCTAATTAATAATCAAATTTAAAAATTAGCCCGCCATCCTTATGCAATAATTAAGACCATATTTGGTCATAAATTTGTAAGACACTTTTGCAACATAAACAAAACTAAACGTAAATATTATCCTTAAGTAATTGACATCCCACCTGAGAATTAAAAACAAAATTAAAATGATACACGAAAATAATAATCTGAGGACTAAAAACAACTGGTTTTCCAATTAATGCACATACAAAACACTATTCCAATTAATGCCCGTACAATATACTACTCCAATTAATGCCCATCCCAATATCGATATTATTAGTAGTCGTATTATCGTACCTTCTCCTTGAGCAGCATCAGGGACTCTCTCTCTAATGAGTCGGGCAACATCATAGACGATCATCGACTCCTCAAACTGGAGGAAGAAGGATTTAAAATGATAATAATCATATTCACGATCATTCACACCCACTGAGCCCTTCACTCACTTGCATTGTCTTGACATTGTTGCTTTTCACAATGTGTATCTTGAGAGATATTGCAGACATTGTGTGCGGGTTTGTGAGGAGGCCCCTACGCTATTCCTGGAACAATAGCTCACAAAAGAAGAGGAGCCGGGTAAATTTGAGCTGAAAAAAACCTAGTAGGTTTTCCCTGTAGTTTGCTTTCTTTCCTAGAGTAATACAAAGAGTATTGGACAGTAAAACAACGTCACAAGCCAATTCTCACTTTCTCTATTTCTCCTTGGGGGAAGAGCAGAGAAGAGAAATGATATCATCTACTGCGCATGCGCAGTGGGCGTGACCAAAAATAAAATGGCGGCTTTTTATTAGTGAATGTTCAAATGTTGGCTTTTACAACAGCAAGAGACTATTTTCGTGCAAATTTATTTAGAGTTTCTAGTAGAGCTGGTACCAGTTTTTTATCAAGAGTAGCCGATCATGTAAATCCCATTTAACCTTAGGTTAGCTAACACTTTATTAACTAATAATAATTTATAATTATTAGTAGTTAATTAAATATTATTAATAAATAAGGAAGTGATTAAATAATAATAATTATTATTATTATCACTGCAACACTTGTAATTCAAAACAGTATTCAGTACATAGTCCTTTGGACTTTATTGACTAAAAGAGAGAGAAAGAGAAAGAGATTCAGTGCTGATAGTTTAAAATTGACATAAATGAACTAGAAAGAACATTCCCGAAGATATGCAGGCCCCACATAAAAAGTAGACTATGATCTTTACAGGGAGATAAATGTTGAGAGGAAGAATTGAACTCTTCAGCTTTTCACCAGGCTGTAATAAGAAAAATAATCATATAATGTCAAAAATAAATAAATATACTAATATTAATAATTGGGGTCACTTAGAACTACATGTCTATAATGATTTGACAGAATTGTAGATTGCTAATAAGTGTCTTTATATACAGTGTGTCTGGAGGTGAGTATCACTAATAATGTACAAGTGTAATATCTGAGTCCTTTGATATCTGCCCTCAGCTTCACATCAGGGCTTATGTAACTTAAACTTACATGTATATCATGAATGTACTTTTGTACTTCTACACCTGCTCCACAGGGCAGGCTCATAAAATACATGATATATGTACATGACTAAATTAATAATTATCATCAATAATATTGGTTATCATATACATGTATGTGTACAATAAAATAAAACATACACCGAGTAGTCTCTTAGTTTCATTTATGTCTGTAAATAAGATGCTTCTTCTTCCATTCATTGATTCTCATTCTGTACAAAGTATACCATTTGGCTACACAGATTCCTATAACTATATAATGGGCGTCTGTTTAACAGTTATTGTGATGGCTTCTGTGTATTTGTTTGTTTTGACTTGGAACTATTGCCTAATGTAATGTGTTGATCAATAATATCAAACAAACAGGGCTCCAGCAAACAATGTACCGTTGTAGTGGTCTATATTCTTACGGAGTCACTTAAGAATAGAATTTTACTCTACAGCTCTCATCTTGCCAATAATATGTGCCACTTTTAATCCAATGGACTAGGTTAGTGTAGTGAGGGATATTTAAAGCACTAGATTAAACTGAAGTGATGCATAAGTTAATGATGTAGCTAAAATTTGTGGAGCTAAAATTTTACAGATTGATAAAAATCAATTTTTTTGCAGATTTGCAATGTTAGTGCCACATCTTTAATGGAAATTAAATATTCACAATGTAGTGGATCTTTAATTTTGGGATTGCATGTTTTGCTCCTCAAAAATAAAGTGCAATAGGGTATTACTAAAGTTAAACGAAAAGCATCAAAAGCAATATAATTAAAATTACGGTATAATTACAAAATGCCTTGTTTACCTTGTCTAATACGACGAAAGTATCAGGTGAATAGTGTACAAGAGGTGGGAGTACATCACTGGTTATTCTGGTATAGTGATGCTGAAGTCCGAGTAGCGTCAGCGAGTTACTAACGAGAAACTTGGTCACAATCCCAAACATAAATTTGCAGAATAGGACAACACCAATTCCGACAAAGTACCTCAGGCAAGCCGTGATGTATAGAGGGTCGGTCTCTTCGAAACTAGCTTTAGCTTTCAATCCTAGAGCACGGTTTAAAGAAACCCCAACTATGACGCCAATTGAGACACAGAGCATGCCAGCTGTCTCTGAGACGATGATAGTCCGAGGATAAGGATCAGGGAAGAATGCTAGGAATGCACACATGAATAAAACGCACAGAAACGAGAACTGAAGCGAACTCATTAAATCTTTAAAAAGCACATCGTCCACGAGTAGGTAACCTACCAGTAACAGGCAGCCTATTATTCCGCCTGCCATTATGTCGGCCGGACTGTGAACCCCCAAATAAAGTCGAGAGAAAAGTATGCTAAAACACCAGAATGACACACCCATGAATGCGATCCCGAGGACGAGCGGTGACCAATTAAAACGCGTGTAGCAGAATATCCATATGTACCACGGGATAGTGACGTTGAGAATCGCGTGGTGACTTGGGAAACTCCAGTCATGACAATGGTCGGCCGGTACTATGGGAGGAGATGGAGGGCGTGGCAAGCACAATATATTCTTCAGAAACCCGCCCACGCAAAACCCAAGCCCCATCAAAATGGCAAGTAGGCATCCCATTTTAAAATTGAGTGTCCACGTGACAAAGGGGACCAGGATAGTGTAGAATTCTTCCTCTCCGAGGAAAGAGACTCCTTTCATGAAAGTAGTGACTGAGGGAGAGCGGAAGGACTGTATTTGCATTAGAACTGGCGTCCCGCGGATTATGGCCTTCATTAGAGAGTCCCGGAGTACTTTCCCTACTTTGCCTAGTCTGTATATCGGGGGATAGACACTCAGAGTCGTTGAAGGAGAAGCCATGATGATAGACTTAACTGACTTGTGTGTGGTGGTGTTTAGAAAAATTATGAAGGGGAGGAGTCAGTTAATCTAATTAAATTAAACGATAATGATGAATATTTAATTAGCCAATACCGTCTCTTTTTTACATTTACAGCTATTTTTACTTGCTAAGATATAAGGTTACTCCTGCAGAATGGTTTTTGGAGTATAAAGAATAATCATGGAATAATCTAGCCTATATTTATGTGTGGATGGTACCTGCAAAAGGTGTTAATTGGTTGAGCTGAATTGTTTAACTTTTTTGCAGCATGCAACAATTAAATTTATTTGTTTACTTTTCTGGCTCTTTTAAAATTATTCATGCACCCTGCTAAAACAACACACTCAAGGCGTGGCTCCTTAATATGAGGTGACCTTTAACTGGCGTGATACTTACACACATGACACAGCAGGAGCCAACCTCATGACTATCTGATAACTCTTCATAATACAGATTACAGCTATAGAGAAAGACGAAAGCAGCTGGGAAATAAGATGGACAGCGATTTAAAGAAAGATGGTCTCCCCTACAGCGAGGACTACACTAAATTTGAGCCCAAGCTGGTCAAATTGATAGAAAGGAATCGAGCCCCTGGGCCTTTTGGACTAAGAACTAAAGTGGTGTGGACCAATGTTTATCTGATCTCGGCCATACATGTTCTTGGAGTCTGGGGCATGTGCCTGGCTCCAATGGCTTCCTGGAATACGTGGATATTCTTTTGTTTTTACTATCTTATTAGTGGCTTTGGAGTGACGGGCGGGGCCCACCGACTCTGGGCACACAAGACTTACAAGGCTAGTCTTCCATATCAGATTTTTGTCATGCTACTAAACTGCATTTCATTTCAAAACGACATCCTCGAGTGGTGCCGAGATCACAGACTCCACCACAAGTTTACGGAGACTGACGCTGACCCACACAATGCAAAGAGAGGATTCTTTTTCGCCCATATGGGTTGGCTTATGATGTGGAAGCACCCGGAGGTCCTCATTAAAGGGCGTCAAATCGATATGTCGGATTTACAAAATGACCCGGTCGTCATGTTCCAGCACAAGTATTACCTACCATTGTCCTTTGTGTGTTCCATTGTTATACCCACGTCTATACCGATGTATTTCTGGGGTGAGAGTTTTGCTATATCGCTCCTCGTATGTGGCTTCTTCCGATACATATGTACGCTCCATGTAACATGGCTTGTCAACAGCGCCGCCCACTTGTGGGGCAAGAGGCCTTACGACAAGGGTATCAATCCTTCTGAGAACTGGTTTGTGAGTCTTTCGGCTATCGGCGAGGGTTTTCACAATTACCATCACTGTTTCCCGTACGATTATGCTGCAAGTGAATGGGGACCGACTTTTAACATCACTACCATGATCATTGATTTCTGTGCTTTATTGGGCCTCGTGTATGATAGGAAGCAAGTGTCGTCGGAGTCAATTGTAAGAATTAGAAAGCGACTTGGGGATCTTGCTCCTAGTTATCCTAGCCAGTGATAGTGATAGAGACAAAAAAATTATTATTATAATCATTGTTGTTGTAACTATTATTATTATATATTATCACTTCTTGTGGTAAAGATGTTTTAAAAATAATTACTAACATAAATTGTACTGATGAATTGTTAAAATTTTGACACTTTAGTCTAAAAATATCAATGCTAGTATTAAAATTAAGAAATTGTTCAGCTCCACCTCTTTTAAAATGTGGGATGTGACTGTGAGTGCGGTATTTCGACTGAAAACATCAGAGGGTTTGGTGTTATACTAGACAGTAGTAGCCAGTTGTCATAGCGGTGAGCAACAAAAAGCAATTTTGTCATATGAAGACCACAACAGAAGACACAAGAGCAACTCGCCGCAACAATAGCCTAGCCCGCGCAATGCGCGAGATTGGCCCGCCGCGC